TACCCTGCCAATCCCACCAACGCGGTATGATGTTCCCTCTCTCTTAAAGCCCCCCTCTCTCTTGATTTCATTCTAATCTTAAAGCCCCCTCTATGGCGTAGGGCAGCAGCACATTCTACCCCGCCGATCCCACCAACACGGTATGCTTATGCTCTCTCCCCCTTAAAGCTCTCCCCTTTACCCAAGGCACCACCCGGCAGCAGCACGCTCTACCCCGACGTTCTCACCAACGCGGTAAGCTTATGCTCGGGTGACTTTTGAGTCGACTCGAAAGTCGGCTCTGGAGCGCAACACTATAGTCTGCCTGGATACAGGCACGCGGAAGACGCTAATCGCCGTCACGCTCATGCATGTGAGTCTGAGGTGAATTTGAGTCGACTCAAAAGTCGTCGCTGGAGTGCAACACTATCGTCTACCTGGAGACAGGCAAAGGGAAGATGCTAATAGCCGTCACGCTCAGGTGACTTTGGAGTCGACTCAAAAGTGACCGCGGTAAGCTTATACTCGTCCAAAGAAGCTTCCTCCTGTCTGTCTTGCTGCACGGGGGGATAGTGCCGCAACGTCAACGAGTGCGTGCGTAGGCAGCTGCACAATCTACCCGGGGGATTCCCACCAACGCGGTATACAATCATGCTTCATGAGAAGGCCTCGTGGAATGCCTTGTAAATGCCTTGTAACCAGACCCTCTCTCCTAAATTCAACGGCATTCTCAGCTACAACAGAAGCATCAATCCGCCTTTCTACAACTGGAACCTCCTTTCCGTTTGTTCTTCTCTCCCACTCCCCTCTCCCCCTCCCCTCTCCCGGGTTTCAACGGCATTCTTAGCAGCAACTGCAACATCAACCCGCCTTTTTACAATTGGAACCTCGTTCGCCTCATCTACTGCGACGGTGGTGGCTACGCGGGCCCGGCAGGGCGGCTGGAAATAAACAACGACACGGTGATCTACCTGGATGGGTGGAACATCGTTCAAGCGGTGATAGAGGGTGAGTGATTTGAGAGGGGGTTTCGTTCGTCTCATCCACTCTCATCTACCAGGCACTCAAGCATTGGCACTCTCATCTAATGCGACGGTGGCGGCTAATCACTCAGAAACGGCAGGAAGGCCTGGACGTTGGCAGCAATGGCACGGTAATCTACCTGGATGGGTGGAATATTGTTCAAGCGGTCGTAGAAGGTTCGGTTGTTGTTGAAACACGTGAGCATCTCACATCCCTCTTTCACCCATCCCTCTTTCACCCATCCCTCTTTCACCCATCTCGAGTAAGTGAATGGACTGCCGAGGTGCCTCTTTCATCCCTCTCTCAAATCCCCTCCTCACCGTTTCTTTGACCCTCACTTCGCCTTGCCTCACATCCTTTGAGGCGCCTCAAAACCCTCTCCCCGCCTTGCCTCACATCCTGCCTCCTACTCGCCCTCACCCTTTCCTTGACGTGACAACCCCTCGCCCAAACGCAATCAGATCTGAAAACCAATCGGGGGATCAAATCTGCAGATCAGATCCTCCTGGCGGGCAGCTCAGCGGGCGGCCAGGCAGTCGTGGCTATCTGCGATCGCATCGCTGCCGCCTTCCCCTGGGCGGCAACTAAATGCATCTCCGACTCGGGCTTCTTCATTGGTCCGTGCATCGAGATCTTTCATTGGTGCGTGCATCAAGATCCGAGCCCTTTTTGTTGGTGTGCCTTCATAGGTGTCTTCTTTTGTTCGAGACTCAACCTCCTTGATTCATTGGTGCATGGTTTGAGTCAGGGCTGACTAGCACCTCTGACTCGTCATGGTTGTGAGTGAATTATAACATCACTGTACTATCACCTCTGACTCGTCATGGTTGTGAGTGAATCATAACATCACTGTACTAGCACCTCTGACTAGTCATGGTTGTGAGTGAATCATAACATCACTGTACTAGCACCTCTGACTCGTCATGGTTGTGAGTGAATTATAACATCACTGTAATAGCACCTCTGACTAGTCATGGTTGTGAGTGAATTATAACATCACTGTACTAGCACCTCTGACTAGTCATGGTTGTGAGTGAATTATAACATCACTGTACTAGCACCTCCGGCTCAGGGCTTTTTTATTTTCTCTTGGTGAGCCTTCCTTGGTATGATTTGAGTTTCGGCCCACTTCCCCTACTCCGCTATCTCCTTCCCTCCCTCTTGCTGCACTTCCCTCCCTCTCGCTGCACTTCCCTCCCTCTCGCTTCACTTCCCTCCCTCTCGCTTCACTTCCCTCCCAGACTCAAAGGACCGAGACGGGGGGTGCACCTGGCATGCCACAACACACTTTCCTTTTTCTCCCTTCCTCACTTTTGAGGCGCCTATGAATTGCGGGTATAGAGACGAGATATGAGGCGCCTCAAGAGAGGAGGGGTGCACCTGGTATGCCACAGGGCCGCACCACAGTTTCCCCTTTCTCCCCCTTCTCACATTCTCCCCCCCCTACCGTAAAGACTCGAAGGACCGAGCAGCTGGGAACAGGTGGCGTGCCTCGGCTCAGATGCTGGTTGATTTCCACAAGCCCAATTGGACTGACTGCACGGAAGGTGAGATGAATTGCGTTGCGTGGCGGTTAGAGGGTTACCACATGGCATGGCGTGCCTCTTCTGCACAGAGCCTGGTTGGTTGTCACAAGCCGAACTGGACTGATTGCAGGGATGGTGAGCAAGGGAGGGAGAGGGAGAGGGAGAGGGAAATGCCTTGGACCATCAAGCGGTTGGTTGTGGTGATCAAGTGAAGACTTGATGTGCACGTGGTGTGGTGTGCCTCTTCTGCACAGAACCTGGTTGGTTCTCACAAGCCCAACTGGACTGATTGCATGGATGGTGAGATGAGATGCATTGCATGGCGGTTACAGGGTCACTACATCAACAGCCTCGGCACATAGCCTAGCTGATTTTCACAAGCCCGGCTGGACTGATTGCATGGATGGTGAGAGGAGGAAATCATCCGATAGTTGTGTGCCTGCTCGCACAGAGCCTGAAAACAGGTATTTACAGGCTCACCCAGACCGATGGCATGGATGGTGAGATGAGATGCATCGCTGCTGGAGATGCATGCGTGGTGGTTACATGGTTATCACGTGGTGTGGCTCTCCACGCAGGGCCTGATTGATTGGTTTTCACTCAGACTCAGCTGGACTGATTGCATGGATTGTGAGATGTGATACAGTGCTATTAGAGATGCATGCATGTCTGCATGCATAGCATTTAATGCATGGCGCAACTGTGAGAGAACCATACATCCATCTGTGTGGAAAATCTTCCTTCCACACGTTTTTGCGTTCCCTCATGCCACTTCTCATTCCTTCCTTGCACCCCCCGTTCTCAATTCTTCTTGGTATTCCCTCCTACAATACCCCCTATCCTCCCTAATGCTTCCTCCCCTTACCCACACCCCCTTTCCCTGTGTCATTGCTTTCCCCCACCACCCCTACATCTCCCTCCTTTTCTCCCCCATCCCTTCAGCCTTACCAGAGACTGATCATTGGAAGTGTTTTTTCCCGCAATACATACTGCAAAGCGTTAAAACTACGATATTTCTGTTCCGTTCTTTCTTCGACATTAATGCGAACATGCTCGGCGGGCTGCTCTCGAAAAAACACGACATACGCTTACACATGCTTAAATGAAGTGGCGTGGTTGGGCACAGGGATTATAGCGAGAAAGGAGTGGAACAACACGGTGTGGAAAACGAATTACTGTACAGAAGGAGAGGGACGCATGTTCGTTGCGGCATCTCTTCTATATGACGAACTTGAGAGAGTTACCAGAAGCGGAAACATTGTAGCTGCGTTTGTCCCACCTGGGATGGCACACGTAACATTGTGTTACAACTCGTGGATCCAAGCAACGGTTCGGGGAATGTCGGTAGAGTCTATAGTATGATGGTTGGCAAACAGACGACTGATAGATTTGTGCATAAGTAGGCAAAGTAATCATGACTTTTGGTATCCATACATGGGCATTCTCTGTGTGCGTTTTCTACACAAGGAGCAAAACTCTGTTCGCCTTGGCCTTGCCGGTACACTTGCAAATGCAATGCGACCATACCGTCACGCGTGCAAGATTTGTGAGCATTACTAACCATGAATGTGCACTACCATGAATCGTACTATGTTTGACATTTGGGCTATTGCAGCCCTTGCCCCCACCTTGTTCCTTGTTGAAAACACACAGTTTTCTTGATATAATGATTGTGGAAATCCAGTAGGTAAATTAACGCGTTGAAGTCCTCACAGTGTATAAGTCCGTGTATTTTCCATTGTGCAGAATTGCTTGGGAGCGTGGTCAGAGGTGTGATTTCTAAAAGGCAAAGCAACACAAACACCATTCCTATATCAAGCATCAAGTACCAAGCTATCTGTAAAGTTAGCGAGTTGGGATTAAAGCTGTACACTTCTGAAAAAAAAGGCGGGAATGGTCTGTCAGTCGGCTCACGGCAGACCTAGAAGTTCCCTGCCCGCATCGCAATGTCGCGATCTGGGTTATCTAAACTCGCCGGCTACGACCGAGTCGCTGGCTCAATTTGCCAATCCGAACCCGAAGCGCCGCTAAATGGAGATTGATTATCGGGTCGCAGGTTCACGTTTCCAAAACGTGAGGGTGCTTCAAAGCGGTGAATGAGCGAAACCGTTTCCCAGCGCGTACCACCGTTTTGAACCGGATATGGAAGTACCCCCACGTCTTTTCGTGGCTGGATCACGTGTGCAGAACAGAATCAAATTCGGAGCAAACCCCGCAACCGTTGCGGATTGTGACGAACTTAGTCTCTAGCAGCCGGCTCGAGCCGTGTCACAGTCAGAGCTGTGCCACTCTTATCCACTTGTGCCACAGCTCCCGCATATAAAACAAGCACAGTTAGTGCTCGTCGGTATGACTCTTTTCCTGGAACAATACTGCGACGGTGGTGGCTTTCTGCCTACTCCTCCTAGTGAGGAAGTGGGTTAATTGAAGTATCTTATAGTTCTGGCCGCTTTAACCCTAAGCCGAACTATAATGGCTGCATTCACCGAGCTTCGAGCACGAGCTTCAACGACTAGCGGTACTGTTCTTACCGCGTACAGCAGCCGTGGATTCAGCGCCCACGCTTCGTTGCCGTTCGAACCGGCGTCTGGTGGGAAAATTGCTTCTACCAGCGATAAAGCGGCGGGACGGAAGATAAATTTCAGCGGCTGGAAGATTAGCGGCGTCGCGGTGTCCCTGCAGTACCTCCTGTCGCTACTCGCGGTGTCGCTACTCGCTGCGGTACATGTTGCGGGAAATCCGCCTCTGCCGCCGGCAGCGGCGCCGCCGGCCACGCCGCGGCTCGTTCTGCTGGCGAATAACTCGTTCGACGCGAAATGTCTCGACGGGAGGTAAGATTTGGAGCGGAAAGGGTGGGAGGAAGGCGAAGGGGAGGAGGATAAAGGGAAAAAGAAGGAGTGGGGTCGAGAGGGGGGAGAAAGCGAATAAAATCGAAGCAATTTGTTCTGCTGGCGAACTGCTGTCTTAAAACCTCCTTGGACGCGAAACGCCGTGACGGGAGGTCGGGAAGGGGGAAACGCGGATGGGAAAAGGTGGGGGGAGGGGGGATGAAAAACGAAGCCAAGGCCCCCAACCCCTTCCCCGACGATCCCACCAACACTTCCCCTTTTTCCGACCCTACACCCCCCTGCCTCTCCCCTCTTCTCCCCTCCACTCTCCCTCCACTCCGCACCCCAGCCCCCCAGGGTATTATTTCCGGCCGGGCACGGGGGGCGGCAAGAGCATGTGGCACATTTACCTGCCGCACGGAGGGTGGTGCTTCTCCCCTGACGAATGCCTCCGTAGGAGCAGGACTGCGAGCGGCAGCAGCACCTTCTTTCCCGCCGATCCCACCTACGCGGTATGCTCTCGCAAAGAAGCTTTCTCTATTGGTTGATGTGCATTGGGCCATATTAACACTCCCTCTTTGACCTTACTTGACTCAAAGTCATCTCCGTTTAGTCTGCAACGTGATGGTTAATACGCGACGGGCCTTTATACTCGCTCCACCCTCCAACCCTCTATTCCACCTCAGAACCTCTCGCCGAATTTCAAGGGCATTCTCAGCAGCAGCAGCGAAATCAACCCGCACTTCCACGACTGGAACCTCGTTCGTCTCATCTACTGCGACGGTGGCGGATACTCGGGCACAGCGGGGAGGGTGGAGGCTGGCAACGGCACGGCAATCTACCTGGATGGGTGGAAGATCGTTCAAGCTGTCATTCAAGGTACGTTGCTACTCATGAGCTTGAGTAGTTGGGTGGACAGCGGTGGCGGCAGCTACGCGGGCACGGCAATCTACCTGGATGGGTGGAAGATCGTTCAAGCTGTCATTCAAGGTACGTTGCTGAAACGCCTGAGCTTGAGCACGTGAAGGGACTACTGAGGCGCGTCTTTCTCCCCTCTCGTGACTTCTTCCCTGCATTGATTCTTCGACTCCACTGTTTCCTTCCTTCCCGTCGAGTACCTCTCTTTTCCATTCCCCACATCTTGTCACGTACTCACCCCCGCCCTTTTCTGTTTTCGAGTCAACTCAAAAATATGACGTGCCTCACATTTGCCACGTACTCACCCCCACCCTTTCCTTTTTAACCCCTCTCCCGAACGCAACCAGATTTGAAATCGAATCGCGCAATCAGATCCGCAGATCAGATTCTCCTGGTTGGAAGCTCGGCGGGCGGCCAAGCGGCCGTGGCTCTCTGCGATCGCATCGCCGGCGCTTTCCCCTGGGCGGCAACCAAATGCATTTCTGACTCGGGCTTCTTTGTTGGTGAGTCAAGTTACATTATTGACGAATCGGGTTACATTATTGGCTTCTTAATTGTACCGAGAGAGGCACTCCCCCCGTTTGTCCTCTGCTCATCCCCTCGGGAACTTCCCCTTATGTCCCCCATCCCCCAACACATTGCACTTTTCAGACTCCAAGGACCGAGAGGGCGGGAACACGTGGCGTGCCTCAGCTCAGAGCCGCTTCCCCCGATTCTCCCCTGTTTCCCCCCTCTTTCCTCCCTCCATCCATCACCACCCCTTTCAGACTCCAAGGACCGAGAGGGCGGGAACACGTGGCGTGCCTCAGCTCAGAGCCGCTTCCCCCGATTCTCCCCTGTTTCCCCCCTCTTTCCTCCATCCATCGATTACCACCCCTTTCAGACTCCAAGGACCGAGAGGGCGGGAACACGTGGCGTGCCTCAGCTCAGAGCCGCTTCCCCCGATTCTCCCCTGTTTCCCCCCTCTTTCCTCCATCCATCCATCACCACCCCTTTCAGACTCCAAGGACCGAGAGGGCGGGAACACGTGGCGTGCCAAGGCACAGAGTCTGGTGGATCTGCACAAGCCCAGCTGGCCTGCTTGCATGCATGGTGAGATGAGGTGCATGCATACTGGTTACAGGGTTACCACGTGGCATGCCAAGGCACAGAGTCTGGTGGATCTGCACAAGCCCAGCTGGCCTGCTTGCATGCATGGTGAGATGAGATACATAGAGGTGAGAGATGCATGCTGAGCAGTTGCACGCTTATCACATGGCGTGCCAATGCACAGAGCCAGGTTGATTTGCACAAGCCCAGCCAGCCTGCTTGCATGCATGGTGAGATGAGATGCGACGCTTTGAAGAGTGACTTGAAATGAGTCAGGAAACGCGGCATTCGTTGGTTTTCAAAATGCGGGACGAGGTGCTGTCTGCAAAGGGCTGGTGGTATTGGATGGGTTCTGAGAGAGGGTTTGATGTGGAATTGGTAAAAGGTTCTACATCAGCGCAAAAGGTTCTGTATATCAGCGTCCATCCATCTGTGTAGGTTCTTTCCACTAACGTTTTTTACTTTCATCTTCTCACTTCTTATTCCCTCCTTGGCCACCTCCCCACACTCCTGCCCTCTACTACCTCTTTCATCCTACCTAATGCTTCCTCCCCTCAACCCCATCCCCTTTCCCTGTGTCATTGCGTCCTCCCACGATCGCTACATCACCCTCCTATTCTCCCCCATCCCCCCCCCCCCATACCCATTGACCTTCAGCCTTACCAGGGACTGATCATTGGAAGTGTTTTTTTCCGCAATATATACTGCGAAACGTTGCAACACCGATTTTCCTATTTCGTGCATTCTTTGACATTAACGCGAACATGCTCGGCGGGCTGTTACCCAATAACCATACATACGCTGACAGCTGCTTGCAAGAAGTGTCATGGGCGCCTGTCGGGATGATAAAGAGAAAGGAGTGGGGCAAGGTTGTGTGGAAGTCGAATCGGTGTACTGCGGGGGAGAGGCACGCGCTGTTTGCTGCTGCGTCGGTTCTGCATGACGAGCTGGATAGCGTTATCCGAACCGGAAGCACTGTTACTGCGTTCGTGCGACCTGGAATGCTGCACGTGGCGCTATGTTACAACTGGTGGACGAACGTAACGATTCGTGGGGTCTCAGTAGAGTCTGCAATAGTACAGTGGCTTGGAAATGAAATGCCTAACAGGTTTGTGCATATATAAGCCAATGATTAAGTGTTTAGGATCTTAGGTACAGCATACCGCGTTTTCCCGGACAGACGTCATAGGGAGCATCCCAAATAATTGCGCGGCCAGCCCTGTGCCCCCATTTAGCTAGGTTTCCTTGGCATGTTTTGCCAATACAATAAAACTTTGTAATAACAGATCAGTAATTCCTTACTGCTGCACGTTCTTTCTACAACGCATAACACTACACATGCACAAACATACAGAACATTTTGTTAGCAAGCCATTGTACTATTTCAGACTCTACCGACATTCCTCGGATCGTTTCCTTCGTCCACGTGTTGTAACATAGCCCCACATGTGCCATGCCAGCTTGCACAAACGCAGCTACAGTGCTTTTGCTTCCTGTTACCCTCGCCAGCTCGTCATCGAGGACTGACGCCGCAACAAACAACGCATCTCTCTCTCCCGCTTGTCAGAATGAGGAATGGATGATGCATTGATGTTGGTTGGGGTACATATAGCTAACCCTAAGTTTTGTACCCCCTAAGACAAACCTCACTATAGGCTACAACATTTGACACACCCCCATAGCCTAAGTGAGGGGTGTCTAGCAGAACCAAACGAGTACGGTCACAAGACCAGTCCAAGAAACAAAGCTCAGGGTGGATCACAACGTCACCACACAGTCTGAGCACAAACAACAGTGGCCACAAGGCCAGTCCAAGAAGTAACAGAGATATATAGAAAGCAAAGTAAACAGTACACTCAAGTCTAAGCAACACGAGAACCAGTGTCAACAAGGCCTAACTGCACACAGCACCTCTGGTGGTCACAAGGCGGAAGCGCCTTGGTGAAGATGTCTGCAGTGTTGGCCTCGGACTCCACAAACTCAAAGCGAGCCTGTCCACGCCTCTGCAACTCTCGCAGAAGAAAGTACCTGACGTGAATGTGCTTCACTCTGCTCTCCAGTCGTGGCTCTCGACAAAGGAGAATAGACGCCTTGTTGTCAGTGAACAAGGTCGGTGCAGAGCTCGGCCGCTCACCAAGGTCGGTGAGCAAGAAGGTCAACCAACGCAGCTCCTGTGCCGCCATGGCACCAGCGTAGATCTCAGCCTCAGCTGTAGAGGTCGAGACCGAAGAGGAGCGCGTGGACCGCCAGGAAACAGCTCCAGAACCCAGGCTGAAACAGTACCCCTGAGTAGACCTGTGAGTCTCAGCGTCGTCAGCGTAAGAGGAGTCACAGTGACCAGTAAGTACGACAGACTGCTGCCCTCCAAGAACTAGCCCCACGCCTGACGTCGTCGCTAGGTACTTCGCCACCCTCACAGCTGCTGTCCAGTGAACAGGACGGTGTCTCCCTGGCGCAACAAAGCGCGCAAGAACGCTGAGAGGGAAGGCGAGGTCCGGGCGAGTACAAGTCATCAGGTACATGAGGCAACCCACAAGCTCTGCGTAGGGACCACTAGGCTCGAACGGCTCGTCAGGAAAGGGTCCAGTGAGTCTGTGGTCAACAGCAAGAGGTGTGCGCTGTACTATGGAGTGCTGAAGCCCGAACCGCTGAAGGACCTGCTGCACCATGTGCGACTGTGAAAGTGTAATGGTGCGAGCAGCTCTGTCCCTGGTGATCTGCAGGCCAAGGTAGTGGCGCAGCTCACCAAGATCAGTGCAGGTGTGTCTCTTCTGCAGTTCGGACTTCACGTGTGCCAAAGCAACCCTGTCAGGGGTGGCGAAAACAAGGTCGTCAACGTAGACCAGAACAAAGAAAGGTGTGGGGCCACGACGAACGAACAGCGACGGGTCAGCAGAAGACGGCTGGAACCCAAGGTCAGACAGGGTAGAACGCAGGGTGTCGTGCCACTCACGAGGAGCCTGACGAAGACCGTAAACCGGTCGCCTCAGCCTCCACTGGGTCCCAGGAGGGAAAGAGCCAGTGAAGGCAGAGGGACGACGCAACCAGACCTCCTCGTGAAGACTGCCCTGAAGGAAAGCAGTAGAGAAGTCGAGAGAGTGTAACTCGTAGTCTCTCTGTGCTGCTACGTGTAGTAACACCCGAAGAGTGGTCATCTTCGGGGTGGGCGCGAAGGTCTGAAAGAAGTCAACTCCCTCACGCTGACTGAAACCTCTAGCCACGTAGCGCGCCTTGAAGACCGGAGGAGATCCCGGTGGCCGCTTCACCCTGTAGATCCACATGCCGTCGACTACGTTCGCCCCCGGAGGGGGAACCTCATCGACGTAGGTGCCTGTGGATCTGTAGGAGGCCATCTCTGCGTCCATGGCAGCTCTCCACTGAGAGGCCCAAGGCCCTGACACTGCCTCAGCGTAAGTGCGAGGAGTCGGAATGTCAAGGGCGTCGGGGTCACCCTCAGGGGCGAGGAGCATGGCACAGAGATGAGGGGAAGCGGCCGCCAGGAACTCTAGCTCAAACTGCCTGTCCTCTAGGGCGTCACAGCCAAGGGCAGACACACCCCCGACGGCCAGAGGACTGGAAGGAGGAGCTGCCACAAGAGCGGTGGCGAAGTCAAGGCGGCGGGTAGAGGCAAACTCAGTGACTGCGGCAGTAAGAGCGGACACAGAGGACACAGAGGCACGAGGGTGGGTAACAAGAGAGGCGAGAACACGAGAGAGAACAGGACGGTACGTGCAGTAGTAGTCAGTGACAGGGGAAGGAAGCGACACAGTGAGGGCCGACTCAGGAGGAGACGGAAGCACAGACGGAGACGGACGAGGTGGACGAGAACAAAGGAAGGCTGTACGAAGGTCAGTGAAGGGAACAGGAGATGAGGGACGAGCACGAGGGGAGCGACGAGAGGCCCAAGTCTGAGAAGGAGGAGGAGACAACGAAGACTGAGAACGAGGGAAAACAGCGGGAGAGGGGTCAGGAGGAGGAAGCGGAGGACCAGAGACGGGAGGAGAGGGGGAGGAGGAAGGAGAGGGAGACGGGAGACCAAGGGTCCGAAGACCCGAGACAGGAGGAGGAGACGGCAGCAGCTGCTGCTGCTGCTGCTGCTGCTGCTGCTGCGGCTGCTGTGGCTGCTGCTGCTCCAGCGGCTGCTGCCTCTGCTGCTGCTCCTGCTGCTGCTCCTGCTGCTGTCGCTCCTGCTCCTCGAGCCGCTGCAACTCTCTCTCCTCTCTCTCCAACTCCAGCTGCTCCTCACGAGCACGGCGAACACGAGCCTGGAACCTGGTCGGGTAGGGGTGGGGGGAAGGAGTAGTGTCCGGGGCAGCGGCAGCCCCAGAGTCGACCTCCGAAGCACCAAGCACACCACCCCCAGAGGCAGCACCAACACCAGCTCCAGACCCAGGCTCTCCAGAAACCGAAGGGACACCCTCACCCCCAGACGCAGCACCCCCAGACTCCGCACCAGCACCCCCAGACTCCGCACGACCAGTACCAGCCCCCGGAAGACAAGAGTCCTCTGCAACCCGCGGCTCAGCTCCAACTCCAGCACCCCCAGAACCAGAGACCTGTACAGGGACAGTCGCAGGACCAACCTCCCGAGAGGGAGCACCTGCAGGAGGCGGCGAGGAAGACTGTGGGGAGGGAGGCTGTACAGGGGGGGCTACCGAAGGGGGAGGGCTGGCCTGAGACACACCAGACGGGGCTGGACCAGGGGGGGGAGGCTGTACCGGGGGAGCAGGCGGGGGAGCGGCTGTCAGGAAGAGGGGGGGAGGAGGAACCGGGAGACCTCGACTGGGGTACCTGACGTAGTACGGGGTGGACTCCTCGAAACGGACGTCACGGGAGTCAAAGAACCGGTGAGAGGGAGGGTGGTAAAAGGTGAAGTCAGAGGAGTCCTCAGGGAAACCAAGGAAGACACAAGGAACGGCGCGAGGCGAGAGCTTGTCCGCGGAGGTGTCGCGGACAAGAGCCAAGCACCCCCAGACACGAAACCTCGACGCGACACCAGGGGACCCTGTCCAAAGACTGGTCGGTGAAGCCTCCGGCCGAGAGACGCGTGGCCAGAGGTTCAGCTGGTGCGCGGCGTACCTGACTGCGTATGGCCACAGGAAATGGGGGGCACGGGCGTGAGTCAAGGAGGTGCGGGCAATCTCCA